TTTAAGTAACATATTATACATGTTTTAACATCCTGTATAGCTGACATTTCAACTGACATAATAGCTGGAGCTGAGCAACACAGAAATGCTGGGAATGATTCAACAACCACAAGATCACAGCCAGGTAAAGTACCACCATTACTATAAATACTGACAGGCCATGTTGCTCATACCATAGTAAATAGTTTAATCACTCTATTGCTATAGATATCATAACAGCAGCCAGTCAAAAATTGAAAAGCAAAACTGCTACTTTAAAAAGAAAAACAGCTACTTTAAGAAGAAGAACAGCTAGTTTAACACTAAAAAATATAATTCATAAAAAGAAGGTATGCTGTAGCACCATAGTGTAAATACTTTAAAGATTTAATCCACAGAAAAAGCAATGGATAGTATTATCAGTAGCGTCAGCAGTCGTTATAGCACTCTTAGCTGCAGTTCTCATTCTCAGTCTCTTTCCTCGACTCCCAACGCTATCAAAGCAAGTCATGCGTCCATACGACACTGTCTTGTATAGAATACCTCAAAGTTACTGGGTGACAAGTGTCGATATAGAGTTGGAGGGTTCGGCTTCTTGCTCTGCTACAGTCGTCTCAGTCAAATGCAGTGACATACAACAAGGCAGCAGCAATTCAATAGACGAAGTCTTCAAATCTGATTATATTTATCTCGAAGAGGGTTCCATCATTAGCCTCCTAATGAACGATGTAGAGTCAATGGGTACTTTGTCTTGCTCTCCTTATTATGCTTACATTTTCAATGACCATCAATCTGCTAACGATAACGCTGACAATAATTTTGAAGATCTAGCCTGTGCTCATCCTCCAGACAACACATGGTGCATAAGACTCATCAACGATAGCAGTGGGGCTCAATTTATCTCACCGTCATCAAGCTATTATTTCATTCGCTGTGACAGAGGACCAGAATGTGACATAGTCGACTCCATTCACTTCAATGTCAGTCAGTATAATATCATGCCTAGCAAAGAGTTTGAGATTGGCTCTGTGATGATTCGAACACATGATAGTGAGAAAAGGCTCAAATTAAGAGACGAGACTTTTAGTCCGTACTCTTTCATAGAAGAGGAAGTGTGTCTCCTGATGCAGCTGTCAGACTCATCACAGTGCGAAGACGGGGAACCCCCTATTTATCATGTAGCATTTGTAGGGTCACCAGCAAGAAGATACGACATGATATTTCATCCATTTTTAGTATTATTTGTAATACTAGTGGTATCTATAGTAGCCCTCAGCATTTTCTATTGTTATACTAAATTTTGTAATAAGTAAACCCCCTTGTGTACTCATTTCATTTGGCTCATTAGATGAAGCATTACATATTTATGTCACACTTCATTAGTTTCTAAACAGTCCATAATGGGTAGAGGTAATTTCTTTACAAACATAAAAATGCAGTGGGTGGTAGGAGTTGCCATAAATACTAGCTGCCAGCTGCCAACTGATAGTGTGGCCCTCCTTCACATCATCACAAATGGCAAAGGCAGCAGTAGAGAAAGAACCTGGCTGTACACTAGTAATTGCCAATCCAGCAACCCACTCCAACAGTAAGTACAACTTATTGTGACTATAATATGAATAGCTCACAGCTACAGGCCAGGATCCAGACTATGTGAATTCCACAGCAAACCCATTATATGATCTGTTAGACAAAGATGATTCAGTATTTCATGAATATGTTAATGTTGACATTTGTGTACAAAACTCCAATGAAGTAATCTATGATAACCTCATAAATCGTGCTGATGAGCATATCTATGAAAATACGGTTATAAATCGAGAAAATACAAATAATGAATCTGTTGCTGGAGCAGGGGAAGATGAGAATGAAATAACAGTAGAGGTACATGTTGAGCAGCATGGAGATGAAAGTTCCACAGATTGTAAGTTATAATAATAATTATCATAAATTCATTTTTAACTTTATCTATTTTACTCAATCCTAATATAATATAGTGCCAGAACTTACACCCACACATCTAGTGAATGTATTTTTGAATAGTGACATCACAGTTGGAACTCTAAACGCTTTACGTGTTATGCTCCAAGTTTCAAGGGCTAGACTACTAAGTGTTGCAGGAGGTGATAATAATCTAGCAATGCAGGCAATGGAAGTGATTAGTGCATGGGTAGATGAGCATCCAGAAATATCACTGCAGGAAAAGCACAGAATACTAGCTGATCATTTGAGAAGTCTAGAGCTGAGCTACTTGATACCAAAACTTCGCGGGGAGGAAAGAATCATTGGAGCTGGTATGAATGCATAAAAGAAATATTAACAAGCATGATCACACTTTCTATTGATAGATCCACAAGCAATTACAAATTATTTAAGAGATGTTACCAGGACTTTCTCTACAAGCCAGGCTCGTGAGTTTGGACGGTCCTTGAAGCTAAGCAAGAAGAAAATTGAAACAATATCTCGCAGCACAGGAGCAACAACAGGGATGGAACTGGTCCTGCAAATATTTGATCACGTCAACCGAAACAACACTCACCTTAATGGACCCTTAATGAGCGAGATAGAGGAATCTCTTTATGCAGCTGCTAAGCTCAACACCAACCCAACAAGGGGAACATTGAGGAAATACCATAATAGGCTAGGTACATCACAATACTAGCAGTATTGAATTACAT